TTCTGTATTTATAAACACATATTGAATCCAAATAGTCATCTCTAATTTTACTACTTTTAGTAGCAGTCCCCCCTTCTCATTTTTAGCTTTTTAACTGACGCTCCAGGATAAAATTTCAGAGAGCTGTTTTGACTTAGACCTACCAAGAATAGCCAGCACCATGCTGTCTTTCAGGACCTCCATGGAGCCAGAGCACACGAAGTAGATGGCTTGCAGAGCATCCCCTTGTCTCAGCAGATACTCCCCCGGGGCACAGAAAGAGGTTTTGATGTGCAGAGACAGAGACCTGAGGCAGCCCCGACTGGCGCACTCGAAGATGGACAACTGCAGGATTTCTTTGTTCAAGTGCATGGTGATGTCCGAGCGCAGCTCATCTGGAAAGTCTTTCAAGAGCTGTCGAACAAGATGGACATCAAGTTGGGGTGTTTCTTATTGTTTAATCAACAAATGTACAGAAAGGAAGGGCATTATTTTCCTGGTGAGAGATTTTGTTCTATGTGCTACTGAGCAGTAAGTTAATGAGAATCTGAAGAAAGAGACAGGATTAAAAAAGGATGCTGGATTCAAAACATAAAACTTACTGTGGTCTCTTTCTCTTAGACTCCTACTAAGAATAGAGGATCTGGAATCAGGGCCTCTTTCCCTGACAGCTAGGATCATATTAAGAAAGAAATAAAATACTTTGGTAAGTGTTGAAGCCTGGTTCGGTAGGTGGAATGACTACTTGATTTATATGCTACTTTTTTTTTTTTTTGCTAGGGTGGTTTGGGACATTTAGAAGCCCACAGATAACACCTCTTGGAAAACATGTATATATGTAAACTTGGTTGATTTTAGATGTAAACTTTAGCTTCCTTAAGCTAAGTAGGGCATAATTCTGAATTATGAATGTGACGTGTTCCTAGGTTTGTTTTTAAGTAGAATTTGTAGCTATACCCAAACAATGGGAATACAATTTTAAATTATCCCTGTATTTTCTATTTTAAAGAACATTTTTATTTTATGCTAGTTTATTTACAAAGTTCATATACATTGTTTTTCACACTGAATCTTTCCCATTTGCTTCACCCACTCCTCCCTCTACCCATCAAATTGTGTGACCCTATGAGTAACCATTTCTCTACCTGACCCCACAATATCCCCGCCACCCTCCCCCCTTTAGCCCTGAATTAATGGGAAAAAAGGGGGGGCAGGCATGTTTCAAGCTGTTTCCAATGATTCACAAGCTGCATGTGCAAGAAGTGAAGGGAAATGTGAGGAAGAATTTTTTTGCAAGTAGAGCCTGGCTGAATCATTTCAAAGTAAGGCCTAATATATATAATATTAAAGGACAAGAAGCCATCTTTTAATTCATGCATTCTTATGTACATAAGTCATATAAGTCATACCTAGGACCTTACTGTGTTGCAAGATTATATCAGTGAGTATCATAAAACTGCCTCCTTCAAACAGAACTGTCTTCTCCAAATAATTTAGCTAAAAGTCTATATGAGTATCCAAACTAGCAAGTTAGTTTAAATCACAGGTCACTTAGCAGAGGCATCATGAAAACGTCAGTCCAAATGGATGAATAAAGCTGGATGGAGCTTCTTGAGAAAATTGGAAAATAAAGAGGTTAATAAATTGGGAGGTGTGTTCTTCATGTCTAAGACCTGCATTCAAGCTCCTTGCCTTCACCTTAGAATATGGGTTCTCCACGTGAGAAAGGCGCTTTACCTCATTGGAATCGATTCCATTGTTGACTGACCAGGTGGTTTGGAAATACTCGAGCATCCTCTGCTTCAGCTGCTGGGGCAGGTGGTGGACGCGTATGAAGTCCTTCAGCTCAGTGGTTCTTGTGTGATAGAGGGACCATCTCGAGTACATCCGCTGTATGATCGCCGTCACGTTCCCAAACACCAGGGCGTGCATCAAGGCTAGAGAGGACAGAACAGTACGTAACGGGAGGGGAATAAAAGAGAGGGACCCACCTCTTATGCTTAATTTCAGTCCAAATACTCTAGATCAGAGAAAAGCATGACTATGTGGCCAGACTGACACAGCTATTACGGTGTGGGTATCTGGGGGCAAACATTTTGTGAACAGAATGTATCCTGATGTGGCCATTTGGATTTGGAATAGCTTGATCAGAGTAAAATTATCTCTCATAACACTCAATCATATATGAAATAGTCTTCTTTGAGTCTCACTTTATCTCTTAACTGCCATTCCAGATCTGACAAACTTTGGTTTTTCATTCTATGCAGAGATGCACTGCTTGTCTTCTGGGAGTTGCACTGCTAATTTAAAGGCCAACCCTCTCTGGTGGTTGAAATCCATCAGCTGCTCCGAGGGAGACGGGTGGGCTATCTCCTCCCGTGCAATTTACAGCCTCAGGAACCCCACGGAAGGTCAGCTGTGAGTCAGTTCTGACTCAGCAGAGTTTTAGACTAAAACTCTAAATGAGTTTTAGAGCTTTTAACAGTGAAGAGTGTTATTTTTAGATCATAGCATAGTGAGAAGCTGTGCTGCAATCCCAAGAGCATGTGGTTTGAACCCACCAGCTGCTTTGTGGGAGAAAGATGGGCAGTCTTCTCCCGTGGGATTACCTGCCTCTGAAAGCCTGCTGGAAGGTCAGCTATGGGTTGGTTCCGACTCGATGGCACATCACCACAACCAGAACCACCACCACCACCACCACCACCACCACCACAGTATACTATCTTGTTAGCTTCTATGGAATATTTGTTTCACCTCTCAGAACCATCACTTTAAATTAGTTTTAGGATATGTGTTTATCTTCTTAATTTTAGGACATGCATCTCTACTAATAAAAGTACTAAAACATATTTTAGACTTTTCTGAACAGTCTGAAACTGAGGTTCATATGGTTTAAATACTTAAATATGGTTCCTTATTTTAACCACACCGCCCTACGCTGTTCTGTTCAGACAACAGCTTCTTGGTCTAGGATGAGGTTTTGCATGAATACAATGAAATGTGGGCATAATTAAATTTACATGAGCATAATTCTGGACAAATATGTCTGGGGTTTTATCCTTGCTACATATGCATACGCTGAGCAAACTATTTGAGAAGCTGGGCTATTTGAAGAGGAATGTGGCAACAGAGATTGGAACAAGACTCATCAACAACCTTTCTTATGCGGATGACACAACCTTACTTGCTGAAAGTGAAGAGGACTTGAAATAATTGTGGAAGAAACAGTCTTAAATATGGATTACACCTCAACATAAGGAAAACAAAATTTCCCACCACTGGGCCAATAGGCAGCATCTGACAGATGGAAAAAAATCTGAGCTTTCACTCATTTCATTTTACTTGGATCCACCATCAACATCCATGGTACTGGTGAGCAAGACATTAAAAATTGTATTACAGTGTGAAAATCCACTGTCAAGAACTTCTCCAAACTGTTAAAGAGAAAAGATCTGTTTAAAGACTAAGTTGCAGAGGAGCTCTGGGGGCCTAGTGGCAAAAGCTGCACTGTAATCCCAGATGCATGCAGGTTCAAATCCATCAGATGCACTGCTGGAGAAGGAGGGGCAATCTCCTCCTGTACCAGTCAGATCAGATTTGACTATACACACACAAAATAATGAAATTTGAAAAATAAAAAAAAAAGAAAGACTAAGGTACACATCATCTAAGCTATGGTATTTTCTTCCTTTTTTTAATTTTGTGGGGTTTTGAGTTTTTTTAAAAATTAATTTTAATGAAAGTTTACAGAGACTTTGGATTTTGATTCATTCATTGTTGCACTTTTCTCCCTGCCCACTCCTCCCTGCCAATTCGCTCTTTCTCTTTGAAAAGTAAAAGAAAAATTATTTCATTGTTATACAATCCCTCCCCACAGGTCCACTCCATGATGCAGCCTTCGTTCTGAACTCCTGTCACGACAATAATACTTAATCATATATCCCTTTTAAACAGTTCTCTCCCTCATCTGTTTCAGTGCAGCATACATCATTTATCCCATCATTAACAATCTCCCCTCAACCCCGATGTCAGTCTCATTTTACGACAGTCAAGCCATGGTATTTTTCAATTGCTCTTATGCATGTGAAAGTTGGCCAATGATTAATGATGGCAGAAGAAGGATTGAAGTATGTGAATTGTGGTGTTGGAGAAGAATGCTAGCTAAGTATTCTATTGACTGCCCAAAGTACAAACATGTCCGTCTCAGAGGATGTGCAACCAAGACAGTCCTTAATCCACAAGGTTGAAGGAACTTCATCTCACACACTTTGGGCATGTTCCTTGGAAAAAGACATCAAGCTGGGAGTGGAGGATCAGAAGAGAGAAAAAGACCCTCCAAGAGGTGAACTGCTACAGTGACTGTATCAGTGGGATCAGGGATCTTAGAGATTGTGAGGATGGCACAGGATAGAGTTAAGGTCAAGTCTACTGCTCACAGTCTCTGCTAACAACAACAATAGCAGTTTTGTTGAAAAACAATTCCATTGTTTGGATTCTATTTTCTTCTAGATTAGATGAACATGATAATAATATCTTGTTACAGGACTATTTGAAGATTAAAAGAACCACCATATTTTCTCAAAAGTGACTCAAGGTATGTGTGAAAAATCATAGGTGCTCAACTTAATGTTAATTCTCTCCTGGAGTTTGAAAAGTATTGTCATAGATTTCCAGACAGCCTGGCAAACCATGAATGGGATAAAATCTTGGCCAAAGGGTTCAAGTTTAAGGTTTTCTCTAGCAGCCACTCAAACAGGGTTGCTCTTGTGGGAAATTACTTTTCTATCAAAGAAATTCAAGGAATGTTCAAGGAATAGATGTCCTCTACATGCAAGCAGCTGTGGTGGCCCATTGGTGAAGAGTTTGTCTGCTAATCAAAAAGATGAAGGTAGAATCCTTTGTTGGCTCTACTGGAGAAAGATGTGATAATATGCTCTGGGAAGGACTGTTGTCGTTGTTGTGTATTATCAAGTCTCCTACAACTCACAGTGGCCCCATGCAGGATAGCTCAGAACCTTGCCCTATCTTAAGCCAATTTTCCTGTCTCTGACACATGTGATCCCTTTGCAACAGTTACTCTGTCAATCCATCTTCTAGGGTCTTCCATTCTTACACTGACCTTCCACCCTTCAAAGCGTGATGTCCTTCTCTAAGGACTGGTCCCTCCAAGCAAAATGCCGAAAGTATGTGAGATGGAGTTTAAAATCCTTGCCTCCAAGGAGCAACTTATGTTCACCCTCTCCAGGAGAGACCTGTTTGTTCTCTAGATGTGTGTGTGGGGAGGGAGGGGGTGTCTATGGGAAACATTGCAACCTACTAAGTCTGCTCTGACAAATGGATTCGCTATGAGTTGAAATCTGAGTCAACAACATCTATGAACAAAACAGCACAGATAAGTACGTGTAAATCCAGATCATTGCTAACAGAGAGGTTGAAAGGTCTCCTTAAAGGTCAAATGCAGCCCAAGTAAGATGCACATTGCTTAACAATTTAGTGTTGAGTGGTTCTAGGGACATTCTAAAGAGAGGTTCATTTTTTTCTGTAGTTTTGGAATTTCTAATGCTTCAATATTTTATTTGGAACAGAAGACCTCTGTTTGTGATAATACTAGCCAGAAAAAAAAAAGAAGTGTTTCTGCTCCAAGGCAAAGAAATGAAATCTCAATTTCAGGCTTCGTTAATACACTTATGGGCTGAACATTTGAAAGCTCTACCATTTTTAAAAGTTCGTAATAGTCCTTTCAGGGAGATTAAGCGGAGTTCTGAGAACAATTTTATTCCATTTATTTTAACACTGCTTTCCTTAATTATGTGTATGATTTTAACTTTGCTTTGCTTAATTATAATCTGTGTAAAGCACTTAAAGTAAGAGAAGTAATATGTTCAGATCATTTAGCATCCTAATTGTATATTATCAATAAAATGAATTACTGGATTAATTGTAGCATTCATAAGTGGTGCTGGAAAGTGCTATTCTATGACTGAGTCACTGTAATTTCAAAGTCTCATTTCAGCATAGGAAAATACTTCTAAGTACTGTAGTTAAAAAATGAAACACTGGTTCATAGTTTTTCATTTCGCGAAGTCATTATAGTCTCTCTGTCACCAGTTATCGTTTTGACTCTGGCAGAGAGTGTATGTTCCTGTCAAGGCAAATCATTCCATGTGCAATGGCACTGTGACTCAGGAACTCCAATATCCAGGTCAGTTTGGAAAATATCATCCACTTTCCCTTTCACTCCCAGCAAACTCGATGAGTACAATACTTGACGTTGCCTGCCAACCCTGCTGAGTGTGTGGGCGGCTGTTTTTCTTTGTGTAGGAGTCGTGTATAGGATGAATTTTGTAATATTTCACCTCTATATCAGGTCTTTGAAGGAATCGCAACAATTGGAATAGAAGAATAAAACCAGATCACAAATTGGAGAGAGAGAGAGAGAAAAAAAAGAAAAGAAAAAGGTGACAGTCCCATAGAACTGCCTTCTCTCTCTCTCTCTCTCTCTCTCTCTCTCCCTCTCTTTCTCCGCCCCCCCTCCCCTCTTCCCTCCTTTCCTACCTGGTTCTTGAACAAACATTGTTCTTCTACAGTATATACACTACAGCAATTAAATATCATTACTGATTTCTTTAGCCAACTTTTCTGGAGTGCCATCTGAGTTCAAATCAGGCTGTTACCTCTGACATAAAAAGAGTGGAGAGCTCAGATTTTGAAAAATAGTGCTTGCCCTTTTGCTTTCCTACCAATACTAGGCTCTGACATTTTCCACTCTTTGCTATAAATACCCTTAGGTTATTGGTGGCTAGTAGTGAAGAAAAGGTATGGAAAATGTCAGAGCCTAGAATTGGTAGGAAAGCAAAAGGACAAGCAATAGTTTCCAAAAAATTTTTTGAAAAAAATTTTTCAACCTGTATGCAGAGCAGATTATCCAACAGGCTGG